AGCTCGTTCATGACCGAGCTGGTCCCCAAAGCTGCACACGGAGGCTCCCTGGTGTCTAAAGTGATAGCGGTGGACGCGGACTCCGGACAGAACACCTGGCTGTCCTATGAAATAGTCAAATCCACCGATCCGGGACTTTTCAGTATTGGTGTGCACAGTGGAGAGATCAGGACACAGCGGGACATTTCTGAATCTGACAGCATGAAACAGAACCTGATAGTGGCAGTGAAAGATAACGGCCAGCCGTCTCTGTCTGCCACGTGTGCCATGTATTTACTTATTTCTGATAACTTGGCTGAGGTGCCAGAACTGAAGGACATTTCTTACGATGAGAAGAACTCCAAACTGACCTCTTACCTGATCATCGCACTGGTGTCTGTGTCCACCTTCTTTCTGACCTTCATCATCATCATCCTGGGTGTGAAGTTTTGTCGCAGGAAAAAGCCCAGACTGTTGTTTGATGGAGCAGTGGCCATCCCCAGTGCTTATCTCCCTCCTAATTACGCAGATGTTGACGGCACAGGAACTTTACGCAGCGCTTACAATTATGACGCGTATCTGACAACAGGATCTAGAACCAGTGACTTTAAGTTTGTATCATCTTACAATGACAACACGCTGCCAGCTGACCAGACTCTGAAGAAAAGCCCAACAGACTTTGATGATGCATTTGGAGATGGGGATATTTTGTCTGAGGTAGGCAACAGTTTTTTTATGTTTTAAACATAAAGCAGCATTGTGGTTTAATTCTTTTTGTCTTTGATATCTTAGTGTTTATCTCTTATTTTGAAGCAAGACATATTTTTTAGACATTTCTGATAAACTCAAATAATTTCGAGGCCATATTTTTCGATTTCCTTTCGTTATGCCCAAATTCACATAATACGTTTTTAGTATTTCTTTCTTATATAACCACCTGTTCGTTCTCTTCACCTGAAATATAGTTTTCATTTCACCTACTTTTTTTAGCTGTTTAGCTAAAATATTGAAATCCTGAGCTTATTTTTGTTGTTTTTTTCCCGTTGAATAATGAGTTTTTTATGGATGTCATTTCTTATGCCATGTTACATTTTCATAGATCAGGAAGTTCAATAGCACTTTCGTTAACAGCAGAGAACAGCAATTCTGATTCACAAGCACCAATTTCCCCTTTATCTACTCCAGTTCCAATTGTGTACCGTCATATGAAGTCTGCCTTTTACTATCATGGTATGAGAGCAGGAAATTTGTTTTAGCTTTGCCTAATGAGTCTTGTGTTCTAAGAATACTTGTTATGTGAACGTTGTTTTTGTATTAAGTGATACATTTCTTTAGATTAACTTTACTTCCAGTTTAATTTATTTACTATCAAGCCTCCACCAAATTAAGAGTTTTTTATTTTTTTCTAAATATTTAGTTTTCTTTTTATTTATATGTTTTATAGGTTTTGTAATTGAACTACAATAATTCACAGTAGATCACTTTTACATTGGCATTATCATATTGAAATGATTCTTTCATAAATATTCTTTCGTCGTTGTTTCTCAGTCCCATCCTTGATTCCTCTCTAATATAAAATTTCAACGAAAATTTAGCAAATGTTTAACACCTTTTAATCACTCAATACAAATGAGCATGCTCAAAGTGTTAAAATGGAAACATGATATGGATGTGGCAGCAATTCCATGGAATAGTGATATGTTTTAAAATGGAGTCTTTGGACATAGGTCTGTACTTTAACATCCTTTTTGTACTTTAAGCTTTCCATGTTTTTTTGTTTTTTTAACTTTGCATACTGTCTTACAATTCTGGAAGTACAGTACAGTATGTTTGTTGTACAGAATTGACGTAGGAACAGACATTTTTACATGCAGGTGCATCTTTCACTTAAATCTTGAATCTTGGTTGCCCCATGTCGATGCTTACTCCACTTTGGGTTAGTTAAATGTTATGTTTTAAAACAACATTACCCAGAGCTCTTACAGTTTAGGATAAGTAATGTTGTTTGCAGTCAGCTTCTGCCACAAAAATTGAGAAAGTTCCACATTGTTTAAAATGTTGTTTAGTGTTGATACTATATATTTCAAAGTGGATTGGTTTTAGTTTGCAGTTTTAAAAATGATAAACGATGTTAGGGAATGTGAAGGTGGAGAAAAATCATAGATAAGATAATATTTCCAAACAGATGGGTTGCATCTTGAATAGTTATGTATATAACAATAATATGATACATTTATGGAAAGATGTGTGGATTTGTTTGAAATTAAGAACAAAGCAGTTTATCTTTTGTGTTGAAAAAATAAAATTACACTATACTTGCTTTCAACCCCCCCTCTAGTTTTGGTGATATATTCATGATGTCCTAATTAGCCAAAACATAAGTTAGATTCTATTTTACCTTATTTTTCTATATTGTAGTCTCAAAAGTACCCTGTGGTCTATAACTCAGGAAAGACTCATGGTGTCACTGTGCACCAGCAAACAAGAAGGTACGGTGATGATACTTCAGCGAATTCAAAGCGTCCTTTTCCGGATGTATTTCAGCTGACAAATGCGCGTCGTGTCCGCTCGTGATGTGAAATTTCGCAATTCTTGTCCAAGGAATAAGGAATTCACGATTTATATATTCGACCAACTTGGCATTGTTTGGCGTGTATGTTTTATTTCTTGTGCCAGCAATGGGATTCGGGATCTTTGCACTGGGCTGCGGCCTTGCTTTTATTTTTGTCTCCCTTCAGCCTGTGAATGGAGACGTGAGCTACTCTGTCCCCGAGGAGATGAAG